CTTTTATCAATTTCCAGAAGACACACACTTGAGGATTGTGGAATAGATGAGTGTAAGGTGTAAGATGAATTATCTCCAGCAAATGTCTCTCCTTTTGCCAGCCACTGCGGCAGGCATGAGTTCTATCCCCTACCAAGAAGCTGTCCTTGTGGTGCAGTAGACCACTTCTGTCTTCCCTACTGCTCCCCTTAGCAGTGTATTTCAATAGACCTACCTGTTCTGTTCCCTAACTCTGTCTCTGGTGAATCCTCTCACCTCACCTCCCCCACACCTCTGTCCTATACCCCAGTTCTTGTATATATAAATAAAATAGGTCTTTCCTTTCTCTATGGCCTGAAGCTGCTTTCTTAGAGACCCAAGAACAGAGAAAAGATAAAAGACAGGCAAGTAAGCTTACTGGAAATGTGAGGAGTAAAGTTTAAGTGGCCAGAGGCAGGTACATAGTATGGAACACTTTAGATTGATTTGAAACAAGTATAAAGATCCAGCATATATTAATATTACTAAATTGCTACCTGTAATACTCTGTTCCAGCTTCATAAAATTCTTGGTGATAAGATGAACAATACTGCTGTGATTGAAAAGCAAGTACTAGAACTTTGGGACAGACTGTATCATTCTTGGTTTGTAAAGGTAAGTTATTTCAGCTGAGGATTTTGGTTGTGATATAAGAAAGTCCTTTTATTTTGGAGACTCAATGACCAGATAGAATAGTACTCATACTAGGATTTCATTTCTTGAAATTCTAAGCTTCTATCTTAAGAAAAACTCAGGTTTTTAGAAGGCAGCAATTTTACTTACTATGAGTTAATCTCCATGGTGGAACCCCTAAGTCCCTCTGGTGTGTCAGTATCCCATCCTCTGTTCATTATCATCACCAGCATGTCAGCCATTAGGCTACCCCTTTGCCATAAAAATCTAATGCACACCATGCAAATAATGGTATTTTCCTACTGGCTACTGCAGCCTAAAATGACCAGGGAAAATTCATCTTTAGTATATTTTTCTTAGCACAATATACCTAATATCATTTCAATATGTAAACAGTAGAAAGAAAACTTTTGTAAATATTTTATACATATATTTTTCATACTAAGTCTTTGAAATCTGGTGTATATTTTATATTCAGTACATATCAGTTTTTGGGATGGACACATTTTTATTGCTTCATGTCCACATGTAGCTGGTGTCTACTATTTTGGACAGTATCACTAGATATTGAGTACTTTTCGCTTTGAGAAAATGAAATTTTAAGTATCTTTATTTTCAATCAACCTTTATGTTACGTGTACTAATACATTCCTACTTAAGAAATTATTATGGAAAATGACACCATTTTCCACTTACTATGAAATGAAGGTTTTGAAACATCTGGTTGTGCCAGTCGGTGCTGTGCTCTAGGCTTGACCACATGCCCTGTGGCTCACCAGAAGCTGTGCTGTGTGTGATGCCTGTCCAACTGGAAAAGAGGTTGAGAGTGGGCCAGGGTTGGTGGTGATTTACCAGGGCTCAAGGGAGAAATGGACCCTATAAAAGGAGAAAAGGAAACATAAAAATCCCTTAACTTGGGGTGGAGGTCTCAATTTTTAACTTGAATTTATTGCTTAGTGACCTGTTTGGGATTTTGTTTTCTTGTCCTGGGATAAATGGAGGGGGTGTGTTGGTTTATGTGGGTTTCAGAGATTGGGAATTAAATCAAACTGATTGGGAAAATCTAGGTTTTGACCCCACTGCTGGAGAACCAGACAGTTGGAAAGGTGATATCTATATCCTCTGGTAACTCGGGGGCTTCTGCTTACCAGCAAACAGCTTTTACCATTCCCCACCCCTTTTGAGTTTCATTTTAGACTTGAGGAGGTCAGTATTTTAAAAACATAGGTTTATAAGCAGCTAAGTACATTGCTTTCTTATGTTAGGACCTAATGTCTTTCTATACTATATAATGAAGATTAGTACCCACTTTGCAAAATGAGAGAGTGGGAATGCATATAACTGTCAAGCTCTGTTTCTGCTTGCCTCTTCACTCTGGTTATTCATAGTTATTTCAGATTTAGTCATGCAGTCTTGCCAGCGTAACTCTTTCACATGGATGAGTTAGTTTCTTGTTTGTTTGTTTGTTTTTTTCCATATTCTTCTCTCCCACCTCTATTGTAAGTGGAAAATTCATAAGGTAAGTGAAGAAAGGAGAAAAAAGTAAAAGAAACGGGAAACCAGAAAAGGCAGAGGAGCTAAAAAGCAAAAAAGAAGATGTAAGTAGAAACTGGTTTTGTATAGTTGTGTATCTTGAAGAATAAGGTGTTTACAAGCATTTAGGAAGGAAGCACTTGGCGAGGCTGACTAAGTAGGACATAAACAGCAAAACACTACATTTCATGTCTTCAGGTGGAGTCTTACTTGATTTCTTATATAATGCAATTCTTTTTCCTTATAAATACTTACTAAAGTGTTACAGTGGGCCTAAAACAAAAAGGTCACTTATTCTTTTTTTTGTTTAGGTTAACATGGTGATTTCATGTTTGAACTGTTTTATTCCATAGAATGTCACGCACTTGGGGAGACACAAAGGACACAAGATGCACATAAGTCGCCAGAACAGCTGGCTGGGAGACATCCTGGACTGGCAGGACATTGCTTCCTTCGTTCACGAGAACATCGAAACGTTTCTTTCGGTAAAAAATAGTTATGGTAAAAATAAACTGTTATAAAAAAAATAGTTATGGAAATAAAACAGAAGCCTCAATTCCTAGTTTTCTTCTCACTTAGAGGAGTTTAGTTACCCTGATTTTAACATATGACATTTGCAGTTTTGAGAGTTCTAAATGCATTGGCAAGGTACCCAAAGGCCTCAGGGGTCCTCCCCAGATGCCTCCTCTGGTCGAAGAGTTTGAGCACTGTTTTGGCTCTCAGATTCTCCTGCATGGGTATCCTCTTCCCCTAGGACTGAAGAGAAGGTGCCCAGCTGGACCACTAGGAAGGGAGTTGTCTGTTTAGTGCAAGTGACCTTTGGTAATGGAACTCCATTCCAGTTGTAGTAGAGACTGCATGGGACCATTCAAAATTGTAGCTTGCTTTGTTTTTATGCACCACCCACCTCTGCCTTGTTTTCTAGAAGAAGAAAGGCAGCAACAAAGAGCTTGCAGCATTGATAAGTTTGGCTCACTCTCATGTACTTGGTGTGTGGATTTTCACCAAGATGAGGATTTTCTTGAAAATAAACTCGTGACTTTCACCAATTTGATAAAAATTGAAGTTTGCAATGTTAGATTTTTTAAATTTTATTTTTATCAAAATACTAGATGACCATATCCAGAAAGTCAAAAATGCTTTAAAATTTTTAGTAAAATGTAGTGCTGTACTGCATGCTCCTCCACTTCACCATACTCCTCTAACTTCCTTGTGTTATTTACACTTCTAAAACATTTCTAATACTATCTCCCATCATGGCTCAGCAGTTTTCAACATTATCTCTTGGCTCCCTAATATGGAAGACAGTATAGAGACATGTCTTGTTCTACAGCCTCGCAGTCTTCCTTTCATTGCCCTCTTAAATTTCTTCCCACTCCTCTGCACTCAGACTGGCTAACCCTTCTCTACACCTGATATTGTTACAACAGTTCGGGATTAAATCTAGAAATTCTTGTTTTTAAGCTTTGGGAATTTTTTAATGTTATGTTTTGGATACCTCCTTCTGTTTTCTGTAGTGGCTCTCAAAATTTTTGGCCTGAAGACTCCAAAGAGCTTTTATTTATGTGGGTTGTAGTTAATGCTATTTACTATATTAAGAATTTAAACTGAACATTTTTAGGCTACCTATCAATCTGTTAAAAAATAACATTACATGTTAGCATTTTTTTCTGTGTCAGAAAAATTTTCTGAGACCAACAAAATATTGATTGCATGAGATAGGCTTTCTTTTCACATTTTTGCAAATCTGTATAGTATGCATTTGTATATTTACTTCATACAGAAATTGTACATTTGGAGACGAGAGAACCCTTTTAATATCCTTTCAGATAATTGTGTCCATTCTTCTTTGATACTATAACAAAATTCAACAAATGTTATTTCTTAGTGGTTATTTGCACTGTGGAATTGGAAGTTTTATCTATGAACTCTTTGTATTCTTTTATGTTAAAGTCCATTGATCTATCTTGGTTAAGAATGGGTCTTTTACCCTTGTAAAATCCTGTTGATTTGGAATATGGGTTCACTAATTGCTGTATACCTTTTAAATAGTAACATATTTTTGTTATACATTCTAAAAAAATCACATTTTTTAATATCCTCATCTGTTTTATCAGAAAGATGTTTTAAGAAGCTGTCAAGACTGGTGTATCTTTAATTTCTGCCCTTATAAGTAATATCCAGTGGCTCTTTGTATTCTGAGCCTTCCTCCTTACCTCCTTGGGTACACTGTAAGTTTGACTGTTGTTACCAGTCTTACAATAACAAGAGGGTATTTCCTATCAGTGTGACCCAAGAGCAATTAAAAACTGTTTTTGATTAAAAATTCCAAAATAACTCATGCTCCTTTCAAAAGAATGCTTGTCAAAATCACAAGTAAGGGTATTGTTGATTTATTTCTCGGAATCAGTGGCATTATTCATTCATTCTTTATCCCACAAGGTCAAGCAGTCAATCATGCATATTTTTGTAGGCATGTGGCACATTTTCTAGATTTTATGTAAGGAGTTTTTGTAAATGAAAATAGCCTGCCAAAGTTCTCTTATGAAGACTGAACTGAGGTTTGCAAGAAATGCCGAGGATAACAAAATAAGCCTTTTCATGACACATTTGAGGTAGGAAAGGAATGGACAGGCCTTTCATAGAACAGATGGTATAACTTGAACATACGACAAAACCCAAAACTGCTATTTTGAAAAGGACACCAAAATAAAATTAGCCGTTAGGCGTTCTGGTCCCGGCTCTAGTTTTGCTTATTAGCTTGATATCCTTGGACAAGCTTTAAAAAAAAAAAATCTCTGAGCTGCAGCTACACTAAAGATGGTACCGTCTTCCCACATAGCACGATTGTGAGGTTGATGGGAACATGCTGAAAACTAAAGGAAGGCTGCTTTTCTGGTCATAGTGCTCTCATACTTTTTGTTATGAGTAAGGGTAGCCCACTTGAGATTGTTACAGCAGATGTTATCATGAGGGGATTAGTTTATCAAGAAATAGGAAATGAAAACATGTTAATTGTGCTGTAGATATTACACATCTTCTTTTAGTAATGTTTAGCATTTGATAATAATCTTCATTTTAATATGTGGCTCTAGTAGATTTGTAGGTGATGAATCAACTGAACTTAGTAGGTCCTCATATAGCAGTTGTCATTTTACCTGATTAAAGATTTTCAGCTGCAGAGCTCTGCCCTTAATTCTATCTTTTCCTTCCTTTACTGTTGATTTTAGTGGTCATTGAAGTGATACTTTTCTATTTGTAGATCTTTTGGGTTGGAGGCAGCACGGGATAGGGGAGATACCTATTAAGGTAAATGCTAGAATTTTATGACCTGTGCTTGTGATCCTACAAGCTAAATATAACTGCATGTTGTATTTTGGCTTACTTCTCAGTACATATTTTTTCTGTGCATACCATTTTTACATAATTACCATTATGCTAGATGTAAAGTATTGATCTTTTAAAAAAAATTTAGTTGTATCATAATATCTTTTTCTGTTAGTAATAGAGGTATTCTTCATGTTGCCCAGTAGTATTTGGATTCAGTTCACCCAGATTTATGTAATCTTTTTAGTCAACATTCATGTTTTTGATGAATTTTGTTTGTTCTATTTAAAATAATACTCAGTTCTTTTTATCTTTTCAGCTATGGCACTGTGTTAAACACTAGCTACCTGTAGAAACTTCTCTCCTGAGGGTCTAATATTCAGCTTTCCCTCCTGTCAGATCTTAGAGTCTCTGTGGATTGTTATGAGCCGCAACGTGAGCCTGCTCTTTACCACTGTCACGACGCTCCTAACCATTGTCTTCTACAGTGGGACCGCCCTTCTCAATTTTGTGTTGTCTCTGGTATGTACAAGTGATAGGCACACCTCATGTCCTGTTCTGCAGCAAAGCGTGTTCTTGATTCCTTTTGTGTTTCCTTCCTGTAGTTTTCAGATGAGATTTTTTAGGAGTCATTGTCCTTTGTTTTGCAGATAATTTTCCTGACCACACTATTTTATCTATTAAGTTCCAGTGATGAATACTATAAGCCAGTGAAGTGGGTGATAAGTCTGACACCACTCTCTCAGCCTGGTCCTTCCTCTAATATTATTGGCCAGTCTGTGGAAGAAGCTATCAGGTAGGGATCAAATTTATACTCTTTTCCTTCCTTCAGAAAATACTTTTCATGAGAAGGTTTTTTTTCTCTCTTGATCTTCCTAGTAATACTCAGTTAAACTAAATAATATGATGGACATTGGTATTCTCAAAATTTTCTTTACCTCCTCCTGAGACAATAATATGAGCAGTGCAAATGTTAAGAAAAAAAAAATTCAAAGTAGTTTCAATAACCTCCTTTTACATCTGTGATTTACAGGGATTTAATGGCTACCACCACTGGCTTTTCCATGTATAGATCTTGCTTTAGCTCCTGTTTTATGTCATTTTCTTGGGAGAACCCCCTCTTGTTTTACATGACTCCTCACCTTCTCAGAGCCTCCTCTTGTCTCAGAAATTCTAGCTTTGTTCAGGAAGAACAGTATACCTTCCTATTTCTTCCTTTCTCCTGCAGCCAGGCTATGCCCTCTGCAAGGGTAGATTGACTACAAGAAATGTAAACTTTTTGAGTATATCCAAGTTGTAGGCTCTCTGTGTATCTCAGGTTCTGACTAGAACCTTCCATCAGCCATTCCTTCTGAGGATCAGTAGTGCAGACTTAGGTTTCTCAGTGAAATGATTCTCCAACTATACTGGCTCCTGGTCCCCTTTTTTTTCTTCATCATTTCAGGTGTTGAAGAACAGAACAGGCCTATCTCAGAAACCCCCAAACCTTATCACTCATTGCTTTTAACTCATTAAGACAAGGCAATAATTTTTACTGTGTATGATTAAGCTACTCATATAAAATCCTCATTACACTCCTTTTTCTAACAAATTGTTAACAGGTGGTTTTTTTAAGCTTCTCTTAAAATAGTGAATCTTTGGCATTTATTTTTTCACACACTTAATAAAAAAATAACTACTTCTTGAAACTAGTCTTCCACAGGAATCTTGATATGACCCAGTAATCCTGTCTGGCTGATCTTGCTTGATTTTTCCCTACTGATGTGGCAGCTGGTGAGGATATCACCTTTATCTTCTGAAAAACCTCAGTTACATTCACACAGCGTACATGTTCATAAAAGTGTCTCTGAAAACTTTGGTAGGTTTTCTTTCTCCTTATTACTAACAAGTCATCTTTATCACTATCCTGCTTCCCTGAGTAGATGTTAATTGGGATTTAAAAAAGTTTTGAGAAGCTCTTCACCCTCTATGGTGCCCTCAACGTCATCTATTCTTGTAAAGATTCCAGGTTTGCATGTATGCTAATGTAATGACTTCTGTGTGCAGCTGTTTTCTGGAAAAATGCTTATTGACCTTAGTGTCCCTTCTCAGTCTATGTGACCATTGCATTTATCCTTATTGAGTAAATGAAATGATAAATTCTAATAATAGGTGAATTTTAGTTTATCTGAGTGACATTTGTATGACTCAGAAACATCTATGGAAATGCTCTACCGAAAAGAAGAAAACCTCTGCCTTCCTAGTAGGATGAACTATTGAACGAGCCATATTAAATGCTAAAGAATCCTCTAGTTAAGCCACGCCTTACAGAAAAATAGTTACTTTGTCCATGAAGAACACCCCATTTTTCTAAAGCAATCTTTATTAACTCTCTTAATCTCATTAAAGACTTTCTGTTTCCAAATCCTGGTTCTTGTTTTTCTCTTGTCCTGTTTTTTTAGAGTGAACCACAACCACTTGCCAACTGTCATCTAAATGTCTGTATTGAGCCACCTTTATTCCTAACAAATACTCTGTTTTAAACTTTTTAACATTGTTTTCTTGGGACTGGAAAGCAAAACTGTGATTTGTGTCTCAGTTCCGCTGATTGGACATAACCTGCTGCTATTCCAGGAGAAGCTGGTAGGAGGAGATCATGAAATAAACTGGTGTATTAGTAAAACTATTCAAATGGGCACAAGAGACTGGCAGCTAAGATTTTAGATTTTCTACTGGAGATAATTTGAGATTAGCACTGCAGTCATCTCCAGAGATAGAAGAAAATACATGTTTTGTTTTGTTTTGTTTTTATCAATACAAGTTAGTGTTGCCTTTTTGAGATCACATATACTGATTATGCTATATAGTAGTAGTGCATATCTTGGTTCGGAAGTATTTCAGGGCAAAAATCTTTAGTTTTATCATCTTATTATAATGCAAAAATACCTTCTAACAACTCTCAGTACCAGAACTATAATCCAAACAGGTCTCAAAAACTGATAATTTTTTGTAAGTCTGCAAAATATAGTACAGGCTAAACTTGTTATGATCCACACTATTTTTCTAAACAAAACTGTATTGAGTTAAATAAATTTATAATTCGAGTGATACTTAGTAGTTGAAGTCCTTTTGTTCTCTTTATTGGACTAAATTCAAGACACATCAAAATACATAGATTTTATGCAGCTTCTTTGGAAGAACCTTCTTATGCATATAAGATAGCTATGAGTTCTGGTTCTAAGAGCTCTTGTCAAAATTTTCGTTCTGAAGGATTGTGTTCAATATAGGATATGTTTCTTCTTGGAGAAAGTTTTTAAGAGGAAAAATAGCATACAAATGTTTATGAAAATAATACACTGTTCTGGGAGTACATTTAGTCTGCAACTTAACTGTGATAGCAGATTTTTATAAGCATCCATCATTAGTTACCATCAATGTTGCATACAAGTAGAAATCATTAAATTCATTTTACATGGTCCATTAATAAGGTAAAACTGGAATTTAAGTTGGTAGTTAACTGCATGATCAGACAGTGAAAGTGTCTTTGTTCTTTGCCTTCTGAAATATGTGGCTACTTTAGAATCACTGTCTCATTGAATTTTTGAAGCTTGATTATTATTCTCAATTCTGAGTAAGTATTCTTCTACATTGAGTACATTGGGTTTTCATTCATGAATTTTAGAGCTAGTGGCATGCCTCCTTGTCCCCAAACCATTTTCTTCCCCTTAGAGCATGTTGTGTCCTGAATGTTTGCATCACACCTTCTTCCCCGATGCTCCCATTCTGCTTGCTCTGGTGGAGATATTGCACATTACTAAGTTGCATGTTGTCACGGCCTCAGTGCAATTTAGTGTGTGTGATATTTTCACATGAGTGCATGCACACGGGTATGGCTCTTGCTTGTGGAGTTACAGCTATTCGGTGTCAGTGGGTGGAAGTCTGGCTGATGACCTAGATGGCGGAATGTGTGTACCATGATATTTTCATTTGGAAAAGTGAACATGCTTCCCCCACTTTTGGAGAATTAGAAGAATTTGGACTGAAAAGATCATGGTTAAATCAGTCATTTTATTTTTGATTTTGAATTAAGTGTTCATTGGAACGAAGTTCTCATGGATTTCCTACTATAAACAATGTTGGTTTAAATTAAGATACATAAGGAATAGTTTCAAGCTATTATATATGAGCAAATGTATTTTCGTTTATTTGAAGAGATCTCTCTTAACAATGGAACAGAGAGACAGAAAGTCTTTGCATATTTGGGGAAATTAACTGGGATTTTTAAATAACAAAGTCAGTAAATGCCTTTTAAACTTTCCTGATTAAAATTACCTGATTAAAGATTTAGGGTCTGATAAACCTAAACCTTTAATTTGTATCCTAGGAAAAATGACTTTCAAAACTCTTGTTTTGTATTTAACTTCTCATAGTGATATTTTAAAAATTATTAAATTGATTTTAATAGGCTATAATAGAATTAATTTTGAGGTACAAATATTTGCTGTTTGCCTCTATAATTGAAGCAACCTCTTGTTAATTTTTTAGTTAGCATTAGAATAAACAGCCATGATAAACCATGTATGTGTTAATGACATAAACATGTTAATACTACTACTACCAAGGGCTCCAGATGATCTGATGAGATGCTGTGGTTATATGTGTCTGTGTGTGACTTATTTCCAGTGGAACAGGAGGCCTCTGTGCAGGTGGCTATCCCCGGTGCCCCTCAACAGCATGCTAGGTCTGCAGGGACAGCCAAAGCTATTTCCCTTTGGAATGGGAAATCGAGTGTCAACCAAGTTTCTGTATATTTTACCGTGGAAATGGGCCGCTGAGGCACATGAGCCAGGAAAGAGGAAGGCAAGTACCTTCCTGGTCTGTAGTGAGCAACAGAACTCGGGCTGCTTTTCCCAACTGGTCGTTTTATATGTGGTGCCCCTCGCCACTAGTCACTGTTCTTGAGGCACAGTGTGTGGCAGGGAGGGTAGAATACTGGTAAGTAAATAATCCCTTTTGTTTTCTAGAGGAATGACAGCCTCATAGCATTCTTACTGTACCTTCAGAAAGAGGGCAGAACCAGGTTAGGGCATGTTGGGAGGAGGCAGATTTGATTGGGGGTTCTTTCCTGTCCTCTGATTCTAGCCACATGCCTTTTACCCTTCTGTGGTCTAGGGCCCTGTGCATCCTGAGGGCCTGACGATGATGTTACAATATCTCCACTGCTCTCCTTGCTTCAAATCTCATTTCATTGAAAGTAGGTCATCTGATCAAATCCTGAGTTATCTGGGTACTTTCCTGTCACTCAGATACAAAGCCACAATAATCTTTTGGTCAGAAATAAAAGAGAGGTTTGATAGCAGAAGTGAAGTATTAGGTAGCTTGTGAAAGTGGAATGTTTTCATGTTAGAATTTATAAAGGGTGAAGACAGAGTTGATTACGAGCAATTAAAATCCTAACCAGTCATTTGAAATCAGTTCAAGCCCCTGGTGCTGAGGAGTTGTCTATATATGATTGGACAAACAAGGTGTGGACACGCACCTCTTTAGTGCTTTACAGTGTAAATATACAGTAGTGTCTATTGGGGGAAAGCTAGAAGCAGGAAAAAAGCTGATTATGTGTGAATTTAGCATTTTTACCTGCAGAGAGGTATGCTTAGGTGGGGCCTGACTGAACTGGATGCACTGTGACCTACCTGCCTTCTGTGGAGAAGGGACCTGCCCCAGAATGGTGCAGGGGCAAGGAAACTGTAAGACTAAGAGGGAAGTTCTCCGAGTGAGCGAGTGAGGTCGTGGCCCTCCTAGAAAGGGGTTGCCTGTGACACAGTGGCTGATAGCAGTCTCTTGTTCCACTGAACTAGGTCTGTTCTGCTGAACCAGCTTGGCTGTGCAAAAGAAGGGAGGAGAAGAACCACCAGAGTCTTCTGAATTTTATCCTTTTTGTGGCTCAGTGCTGGGAAAGCTTGGAGAGATAGTTGGAGAACAGTTGTCAGTCTTTAAGAATGACTGGAAAGAGAGCAGCAGTAGACTGAGCACAGCAAATACTCATCTATTCAAAAGAGGGCTTAGAGTGGAGGGTTACTATATGTCACATCAGCAGTAGGCTGGTGACCTTGGTGAAGCTTTTCTGTAAATGTTTACAGTATGTGAACATGACTGTGAGCAGTTATAAAGGGAGGAGGTCGGTGTGGTCCTGATGGGGCCATGGATTCACCGAGGGGAAGCCACATGTAACGGCCCTTAGAAAATGACCAGTCGAAGTGATCTGTGATTCTTGCAGAAAGTTGGCTGAAGTGTATCATAATTTCTTCCTTTGATGGTACGACAACACAATGTTCATTACCTCTAGTAGCCACAACTTATTAAGATTGTTATCAATGAATGGACTAAATGAGGGGATGCATTGGTATGATGTAAGGCATATTCTTGTTATTGATTAAATAATGATTTCTGTTAACTTATTGAAATAGTACTGTGCATGCCATTAGTTATATTTTGTTATGAATAAATTATTACTAGCATTCTGAATTTTAGGTTCCAAAGAACCTGAAAGATGAGTAATTTTGTATGTATGTGTGTTCACTATTTTGGCTTAATGTCAAATAGCCTGGTCAAAACCTTACAATTTCAGTAACTAATCCACAGCTTGGTTGTATGATATTTGTACTTCAATATTGCCATATCCTGCTACTCTTTAGAACAAAGAAAAAAACTAAGTATACTTCCAAAAGCTGGAAGGAGAAAAGAACAAAAATAAGAATGTTTACCATGTTCATTATTTTTAGTTTTATTATAATACTGATTGGTAGCCACGATACAATGTTATAATAATACCGACTTAGTTTGAGTGTTTATTGTGCACCAGGGACTAAGCTTAGCACTTCAGCCACATTACTAATTTTCATAAAAGTACTTTGAGATGAATACTATTATCCCTGTTTTGCAGTTGAGGAAAAATGAGGCTTAGGGAAGTTTTCTAATGTTTAAGATCATGCCACTATACTAGTAAGTGACAGGATTTACTGCCTCCTCCTCAAAGTTCCTTTTCCCTTTCTACTACGGAAGTAATTTCATTATTGTTTTGGCAGATGTGTCTTTGTCTTCAGGTTTATTCTGAGAATATAGCTCACTGCCCCCTTTTCTCTAGATTTGCCCCTTGGAATAGCTTTTCCTTTCCCATGGTTAATCTATTCTGGGACATCTCAAATCTCTTGTCCTAAGTTCTCTATCAAATTTTGTCTCCTGTTCTAGCTTCCTCCAGGGTATGTTCATCATCTTATTTTCTTACCATTGCGTAAACTAAATGTATCCCTTTGCCTCTACCTCTCACGTTCTGGACTCTTCCTATCCCTGAGACACTGCCATTCTTCATCCCACAGACTTGAAATCTGAAGCTTTGTCATTTTCTGTCTTTCCTTCATCTCTTCTATTTAGTTGATATTCAGATCTCTTTTTATTTGTGGACAGTCTCTCTCCCTTAGGGTCTTTTTGGTACCACTTGAATCTGGCTCCTTACTGTCAGAAGCCACAAGGCACTGTTAGGGCATTCTCTAGTGAAACTCTTGGTCAATATGACAAAGAAGGTCTTATACTTTGAGGAATCACTCTTGTCACCAAATCCATGTATCAGAACCCTGCTCAATGACTGAATCTCTAGGTTCCAGAGCTTAACTTGGCTCTTGTAATACTCTTCTTGGGTGCTTTGGAACAGCTCAGTTGTTGTTCCCTTTGTGTGTACAGTGTGACCTTTGCTGCCACAGTCTCTGATTTTTCAATTAGGACAGTTTTGACTTCTCTCATAATACATGAGCATGCCGTTTCCACACCCCAGGACCCTGGTTTGTAATTTTGTGATACCTTAGGGTAACTTAAGCTTTGCTGCCATTGTGTTTTCTCTGAGCAGTTCCTTATTTTGTCCCGTACACAGTGCCATGTTACTCTCCTTTCTAAAATGCAAGGATGGAACTACTGAGATTGTGTATTTCTGTGTGCAGCATCCCTATTAATTATCAAAAATATGTGTCTATTTTTACATCTCTTTTTAGTGTCTTCTTTAATTTTACTTTGGAATTAACAAATTTTTTTCCTCATAAATTCTTTCCCAGTGACCTGCATTCTTTGACAGCACTTGTAAGCAGTACTTTGTAGGCTTGGTTGCATAGGTGGAACTATGTGGGATGATACAGGAGACAACAGATAGATGAAGTTCAAATTACATTATCCTCTACTTGCTCTTCCCAAAGGGGAGGATGGCAACAGCTTGTATTAGAGTTTAACAATATCATTAGAAGTACACTCACCCTTAATTCTCTTTCTGTTTATTTTGGCAGTGAAAGATCTGCTTCAGAAGTGAAAAGTTGAATTATTTCAGTGAATTGGGCATATTAAGATGTTCTATTTGAGTATACCTTTTTCATTAGAGGAATACTTAAAAACTCATTTAGTGAACATATTTCAGAATTCCTAGAATAAGGTAGTTATATTGCTTTGAAATAAAATGAAAACAGACTGTTGGGGGGAAATGAAGGCATTCACAGGTTTAGAATGACAAAGCCAGAAGTCTAGAAATGTTTGTTTTTCTCAGTCATAATATGGTACTGTTCATCAACTTTCCTTTTATCTTTGGCCATTCTAGAGGGGTGTTTGATGCTTCCCTCAAAATGGCTGGCTTCTATGGATTGTATACCTGGCTGACTCATACTATATTTGGCATCAATATTGTCTTCATACCATCAGGTAACGGTTGTCATAACTTCCACTGCTTTCTTTCTAAGGAAAGCTAAGCCATTTTGCTATATACATTGGGAAATATCACCTTCAATGATAAAACACTAAATTTTGTGGTTTGAGAGTTACTCTGTTTTGATTAGGTGCAGAAATACTATTTGCAGTGTTCATTTATTGCTATATCTCCGGTAGCTAGAATGATAGTGAGCATCAAACTCTGCACATGTATTTGTTTAATGAAAGGATTGGCTTACGCTCAGCATACACCAGGCACATAATGGCACACAGTCAATGTTTGAACTGAACTGATTAGCAGGGAACAGTGAGTTGGTCATGTTGTTTTGTCCCAGGAAAGATACTCTTCTGGGGGTGAGGGCACATAAGCTGTCACCATACCTTCTAAGATCCATTCTGATAATACACTCGTTCTATAAGTATGAGGGTGATTTAGTGATCAGTTTTTACTTTTTCCATTGGTATTATCATTGCTCCTTTCCTTTTACTTTTTCTTCGTTTCTGTAGCCATCTGTCTTTCTGGATATATGTGCTTTCCACATTTACCTCTTCCATCATTTTTTCCCCAATTACTTGTGCTCCCTTCCTTCTTTGCATTCCCAAGTTCATAAATGACCTTTTCCATTTAATGTCCTTTAAGCTGCTCTGTGACATGCAGGCCAGGCCTGAGGGCTCATGGAAATTGGTTACTTTTTAACCACTCTGTGAGGTAGACAGAGTAGGTAGTATCCTTGTTGTGTAGATGAAAAACCAAAGTTTTGCAAGGTCGCATACCTGATAATGAAAAGTTGGACTAGAATTGGAGTCCCTGTTGTTTGCCTCGTTCTGGAGAGCAGCCAGGTTTTCTTTAAAGTGCTCAAAATACTGCTCTGGGAGTGGGTAGCTTCAAGTAAAGTTTTTTAGCTGCCAGACTTTTTAAAAAGTTACATTTCATTTTTATTAGAAGCAAGATGAAGACTATACATTCATATCTGAGGCTTAGAAACCAATTTGTGATCTGGCTTTGGAACTCAGTACACATTTTGATCAGTTCTACATTATAAGAGTGGGTAATAATTTACCCATGATTCAGAATAACAATTATAGCACACTGAAATGTTACTTAAGAACAGTTTCACGAGGTAAATACACAGTTTTGTAATGTCAAGTTTTAAGACATAGAACCTACTTTAATTAGCTGTTTGAATTTGTATTTGTTTAATTTGGGTGGAAATTTTTCAGTAGGAGAAGCCTGTTGGCTTAGGTGCTTCTGTTTTGTTAATTGTGCTGACGTTGTCTTTGTATCTTTTTAAAAGCTTTAGCAGCAATCCTTGGAGCAGTGCCATTTCTGGGGACATACTGGGCAGCCGTACCTGCAGTGCTAGACCTGTGGCTTACACAGGGTTTAGGGTGCAAAGCCATCTTACTCTTGATTTTCCATCTCTTACCAACATACTTTGTAGATACTGCCATCTATTCTGATATATCAGGGTAAGTATTGCATAAAACTTCTGAAGTTGTTGGGGAATCGTTTTCAAAAATTCCTAAGGCCTTTTTATTTTTCATGTTTTTTTTTTTTTTTTCCTTTTCGGGATGGGAGAAAAAGACAAGTGGTGGCAATTTTCAGTGAAGTAGTCTTGTGATTTCACTGATAATAATTTCATTTGGAGTGTATGCTGTTTCGTTTCATATATATTACTTGCAATCCAAATTTAAATTGTGAGTAGTCTGTTTTAGTGACATTTAACCTAGAAAGGAAATATTACTAGACATATGTGAATTATGTTAATCATGGTAAAGAGCAGTGGTTATTTTTTAGAACTTCTTTATTTTTAGAGCCAAAGAGATTGTATATCTAAGAATTTCTATGTAAAAACAAACCTCATTAAGTTAATATCTGACAAGTAGCACTCTCTAAGATACTATGTATGGCTTTATATTGAATACTGGTTAAATTAAAGCCTGAAGCCAAATTTTGGCCATGTGATAAAAAATATCTATTTTGGTAGATTTTTTAAAATATCTTTTTAAAATTGAGTTAAGCAAATCAGTCTTAGTCATATGTCCTTATTCACATAACTTACTAGAAGCTAAGATATAACTAAATGTTGAACTTTAATAAGCTACTTAAGTTTATGATTGGCTGACTGAAACTGTCCTGGTAGTGAACATATTCCTCTTTCAGTAGTACATCACTGCAATATTGGTAGACAAGGGTTAAGTTTATAGAAAGAGTACTTCCCTTCAGCTGATTTGAAAATATGGGGTTGATTTGCATGTCACTTTGTTTCTCTCTAGTAAGTTAAAGTAGATAATGATGGAAAACTACTAAGTTTCTGAGCACAAAAAGAAATAAACAACTCTCTAAAGAAGCCAACGGGGAATTTTAATGCCTAACACTTGAGAGAAAGTTAAAGATCAAAGGAAAACATTATAACTTCTTAACAGTTGAAATTTAAGTAGTGACAGTAATGATATGATTTATAGTTACGTGCTTTCATTTCATTAAACTATAAATTTTATTAAGGTGGCTGGCTAGAATTCAAGATTTATATATGGTTTTATCTTAATATCTAATTTAACGTAAAATTAAATATTTTAGCACAGATTGTTGTATTTTTTAATAAATCAAGTTTTAATTTAAAGGCTCTCATACTTTTAAAAAGTGTTTAAACTTTGTTAGTTTTTAAAAAATGCTTTGTTTACAGAAAAAGTTATAGAGTGCATGGAATCATGCTCTGCATCCTTCTTTAGCTTGATAAAGACAAATTTTAATTATGTATTGGTTTTCTGGAGACCGGCTAACCTAAGTGTTACTTATTGAATTATAATGTAATACAGAACATTTTTCTAGGATATTTAGTTATTTGCTCTCACTGAACTGTTCTATTCAGTTGTGTTTAAGGAGTCGGAGCCAACATGCCTTATTTCAATGGCCATTTATTACCATTATTCAGTATGCTATAATCTTCCTTGTTTCAATTATGTAAAAGATATTGTGATAAGCTATATCACAATAAAAACCTTTGGATTTGTGATCAGTGTTTTCCTCATGAGGCCTTTTTTCACTACCTTTGACAAAAATCTATATTTTAGGAGATTATCGTGAGTGTAATCTATGAACAACAGGGATGCTGTTGTTTTATTATTGTTGTTGTATTATTATGGAAAGCATAATTGAATTTACATTGTGCAATCTAAGTTGTGCCCACTGAATAACCCTTACAGAAGTAAACCTAACAAATGATTTAATGTAGCCAGTCCTAAGCCAACATTAACACACTTTAGATAGCCACATAATAGGTACAAGATTTGACTTTATTCCTTCAGCTTTTGGACATAGCTATGGAAAGGTAAATGCCACATGTGTCGTGCATCTCTATACTATTACTGTCAGCATTCAGTTATCTTATTGAGACAATCTAAAGAAATCGTTAGCAAATAAACATTGTGTTGAAGAACGTGTTTCAGATTTACTCCAAGCTTTATTTGTCAGTAGTAGTGTGCTAATCTGTGTCTTCTTATTCTAGAGGTGGCCATCCTTACCTGACCGGCTTGGCAGTGGCTGGTGGGGCATATTACCTCGGCCTGGAGGGAGCAATCATTGGGCCCATACTTCTCTGCATACTTGTAGTTGCTTCCAATATCTATCGTGCCATGCTTGTGAGTCCCACAAACTCAATGCCCACGCCCAGCCAGACACCATGGCCTGCTCATACTCAGCGGTAAGTCGAAGTAGAATGATCATGTACTATGCTGAACTACCCTGTTCATGTATTTTGGCCTGAGTAGTCTGTTGGGACATAGGTATTTCAGTGCCCATGTTCTGCTAAAGATTTTAGGAGACACTGAGTAAGTAGAACTCATTGGCAAAGTTTGGGGTTTCATATAACAGGAACTAAATAGAGTCAGAATTGCTAGTGTTATGAAAAATCAGAAATGTAGACTATTGGGATATGATGTAAAAGAGTAAAAGAAACTCAAGAAATAGGACAATGAAATGCAATGCATGAAGCCCCTGAATTGGGTATGGGATGAAATAATTGAAGAAATTTGATTGTGGACCATATATTAAATAACATTGTTAAATTTCTTAGGTATGATAGTGATATATCAATACCTAGGTTATTGATATATACTGTTCCATCAGACCATTTCTGTTCAACATCCTGTGATGATGATTCACCTGTGACAGATGACTCCCCGTTTCTGAGATTCACCCATTCTGTTACATACAGCTATTGCTAACTCTTTCTTATTGCTGCCTCGTATTTCAGTGTACATACCACTATGTATTTTTTCACTGCAGTGTGGACAAACAGTTGGTTGGTTTGTGGTTCATGATTGTTATAAATCAAATTTCTGTGAACTTTCTGTCTTTTGGCAGACACGGGTACTTATTTCACTTGTATAGAACATCTGGAGGTATATTGTTTGATTTGAGTGTTAACACTATTTATTGTTTTTCCCACATCTGTTTTAGGATCCTGCTTTTCAGGGCTTGCTAGGTCAGAGCAGTTGTCCATCTCTGTGCTCCTTCTGCAGTGTGTTGCTCTAACCGCATGTTTTTTTTCTCTCATATTCCTTTCCTGCTTCCTGTCCCCCACCCCCCAGATAGGTTTGTGAATGGGTTGTGAGAGGTCCGGCAGGAAAAGTGTGATCAATGCAGGTCATTTTTTTTTTTTTTAAAGATTTATTTACTTGTGCATACAGACCTGGGGTACAGGCCAGAGGCTCAGGGGCAGTGAGAGGCTTCACCAGAGACAGAGTGGGGAGCAGAACAGGCAGATCTACGAAGTACACTGCTGAGGGGAGCAGCGGGCGGGTCAGGAGAGGTCTGCCACGCCATGTGGTCTCCTTCGGGGCAGGCGGGAATTGAACTCATGCGGAAGCGGCTTTAGATTCTCAGAGCTGTGCTTTAACCCGCTGAGCCACCAGGGAGGGCCGCAGGTCATTTTTTAATGAGAAGTGTAAATGATCTTTGAACTAGTAGCAAACACAACCATTTGTTGAGATTTAAATGCCAACTTCTGTGATTAAACGTTTCATGTGCTATCTTAGTTTACTTAACCTATTCTTTGTTCTCATATGAGGATAGGAAGGATTGTTTTCCATGGTTTATAGATGAGGAACTCAAGACTTAGGTTAACTTGCCTTTCGTCACATAACTGATACACAGGTGTACTGGTGTGTTTCAATAACGATCTTTATCTTTTTCAACTATCTTTCCCCCCTCAACCTCAAGAAAACACATTGTCCATTGTTTCATACTTCAGAGATGTTGCCCTCTGCATAAAATGCCATTGTGTGTTCATTCTTATTACTTATCTCCTCATTCACAATCTGCCAAGTTCTGCCATTTTTATCTCACATCTATCCCTTACCTTTCCACCTGCAGAGCCATCACCTATGCTAAGCAGGGCCCAGCTACTGCATTTTTCCTTTGGATGACTCAGTCATCCTAATTAGTCTCTCAACCTCTCTTTATTCCACCTGTTCATTTTCCATTCTGTATCTGATATGTTCTTTTCAAAATGCAGCCTTTCTGCTCGGTACTTTTACCAAACATGGCCTCCATCGTTCGTTTTAGGAGAAAGATCAAAATCTTTGACTTGGCTAGCATGGCCCTCTGTGATCTCACCTGTGCCTGCCTCATTAACCCTGAAATATTTTCCCCCTGGCTTTCTGAACCACAGCCTGACTGGGTTTTCTCTGCGTTTTAGATACAGAGGTCCCATTTAAACTAAAGGTCCTCATACATGCTGAGGTTCTCCCTCCCCCACCTTTTCTGGATTAATTAACTCTTAATCATTCTTCAGATCACAACTCTAATGACAGTTCATTAGAGAAGCTTTTCCTATCCCAACGATTAGGTTACATTCTTCCTGCTAGTTTAATGCTTTTACAGTAGAGCCTTATACATTCCCCTTAAGGTATAATTTTTATTTATACTCTTCATTACTTGTGTCTTCCTACCTGACAATGGTTGCTATTACTGCAGAGGCCCTGTTGGTTTTAGTTTATCCACAGCAATAATGTCTTGTATTTAGATCATTCTCTATTCCTAGTTAAAGGAGTGAATGAGCTGTGAGGAGGTAGTCTCTGCAGAGGAGTGAGGCTTGACTTAGCATAGGAACCCTAAGTTAGTGCACTGTGGTAATTTAGGGGGTCTGGTTGCATGCATTAGGTAGCCATAATTTCTAATTTAAGATGCAGCAGTGGTGGCCGAAATGACCTTTACAAGACTATTTTTATATATTACCATCTACCTTCAGATGCATGGACAACAGCCACCTAAAAACGGTGAAGGAGGGGACATCTCACCATTGGTGGTGGTGCAATGTTTGATGGTGGTAGATGTCATGGACGTAGCATGGACTCCTTATTCTTTTGGTCTTGATTCAATAATCAAAACTAGTTATTTCCTTTGTTCTCTGCTAACATTGGAGCTTTTTGGGATGTGTGGGGGATGACAGATACACTTAAATAGTTTCTTGATTTTTAGATGGGGTAATCAGACTTGATTTGCTGTACTAACCTCACTCCTATCAAAAAACAGAGCAGCAGTCTCTGACTATTGAAGATCAGAAAACCTCTAAAGAGGAGGTGGGGGTCTAATTCAGGAGCACCACTGGAGTGCTGGTCTCTGTATGACCTTCTCCTTAGCCCTCTCATACCCTGACAGTACTGAAGGTGGCAGCTGGAATGTGGTCCTTTAGAAACTCAGATTTACCGTTCTGTTGAGAATAGTTACTAGTAATATTTTGCTGTTTCTTAGAGCATTATCTTAACCTGACTGAATATCTTTCATAATCTAATACCCAGAATTCAGTCAAAGGTATCTTTTCATAAAGGAAATTACTTGGTAATGAAATTAAGTTTTAACATATCCTACTTTTCCCTTTTCTTTGCAAAATGAGATATGAAGTTTCTCTAAAAGCCGTCATCCTGTGGATCTTTACATTAACCTTAGGAATTTTAATTTGGAGTGTACCCCCTGTATTCTAGTCTGGAATGATGGGGGAAAAGAGAGAAGAGAAATCTGTGAGTGCACAACTCATTCTCTATAGATTTGCCTCTTTTGTTTCTGTCACAGATATGCGAATCTGTTGATTCCTCTTTGCTCCTAGAGCTGTGACCCTGACGCTGGGATCACTTGCACAGTGTCCTCATTGGCCCGGCCTCCCCTCTGGCTTCCCTCTGATCTGGTTTTTCTGAACCATAACTATTATGTCCCTCTGCTGCTTGAAATTCAGACAGTGGCTTCCCATGGTCTTTGAAGATAAAGCTGAAGCTTAAAATTGGCTCATCAGACTTTCATGCCTCCTTTTTGTCTGTAGATTCATATCTGTGTGTTGTCTCTGCATTATTTTCTAGCCTTAATTGACTTGTTTTATGGTTTAACTGAATAATTTACTACTTTTAGAAATAATGCCAATGTATTCTTTATTCCTTTGTCTTTTCCTAATTTCTTGAGTTACAGTTTTATGAGCGAATCAGTTAGCTCTGGCCCTCTTGATGAGGCCAGAAAGAAATCATTTCTTATATTTCCAGGTTACCCAAGTTTGTTTCCCAGGAGATAATCCCAGGTTCTATTAAGATCTATGTTACTTCCGTAGGGTTTTACCCACATACCACCACCAACAACAACTTAAACAAGTAAAGAAGATAAAAAGTTGAGATGGAAAACTGTTTCTCAGCTTGCTGCACTTCATTTTCTTTCTTGAGTCCTCTGAAGGCATTCTTGGCCTGGAGGCAGAATTGAATAGTGGGTATGAATTTCAAGGTTACAGCTAAGCTTACTTGTCAACAGAAAACAGTCACCAAGCCGACCACAGCTTTAATCTTATTTCATGCTTTTGCTCCAAGGCAGAAATTTTCATTCATAATTTAGAGGAATCGAATAGTTCCAACTTGCAGGTATTTTAAAAATTTGAAAAGATGTTTAAGGATGAATTTCGAAGCCCTTTTGGGTATTGAAAAATACCTTGTAATGTTGACCAGTTTTGATTATTGGTTTTGAAAATTTCTCAGGGCTTCTCAGAAGTGAGTGCTCTCTGAAATTCATGTCATCTGAGAACAGCTTATAGCCAATTTTGCCTGTATACAGATATAGAAAAACAGGAGTAGGTGTGTGTGGGAGGGGTATCTCCATAGCTAGCTTCCCTCCTTCCTCCCCTCCCTCCCTCTATCCAGAAAGAGAGGGCATGCAGAATGGTTCTGGGAGGGGGGTATGGTTTTGCTTTCCTCACGGGACAGTTGGCAATATCTAAAGACATTTTGATTGTCACATCTCTAGTGGGTAGAGGCAGAAATGCTGCTAAAGATATCATCATGCACAAAAATGTCAGTAGTGCTGCTACTGAGAAAAACTCTGATTTTGTAGATCTATAGCTAAGTGGATATAAAGTGTAGGTGTGTGTGTATAAATCTTTGGAGAAATTTTTCTGAGTATAAAAATATTTAAGGTAAAATGTATTTAAAGGAAATAAAATTCATTCCAATTCTTTTACCTATTAACATATATTCAACAGAAGATTTGACCTTGTCACAGATAGCCCTATTCAGAGCTGCAGGCACCAGAGCCAGGAACATTACCCACCCCTCAAACTGTTCTTTGGAAGTAAAGCTGGGCAAGTTACAAGTCTGCTTCAGAGGGACAAGAGGCTCAGGGCACCCTCCAGTGACAGCCTTGAGATGATAGAACATCCTTGAATGTTTAACGTTTTAATTGTGCTAAAATATATCTCACAACCAGCAATGGCAACTTACATGGGCTAGAAGTTTATCTCTTGGGTGAAAGAATTCTGAACATAAGCAGTCTTAAGCAAGTATAATTGTCCCACAAACATCAGTGCTCAGCCTCCTTCTAGCATACTGCTCTGCCAGCCTTACTGTGAAGCCTTTTTGTCTGAGATGGTTGCTTCCGCTGAAATTCATCCATAAACTCTGACCTGGCCATTTGACTCCCAGCATAGAGGCAGAACTGACTGGGTGTTGTCATCCTAGTTCAGGAGGATAAGTCATATAGCAAAGGCAAGTTAGCTAATGCACTTCTAAGAGCGGCACCTCAGTGATGCAGCAGATACCTCCCTGGAGCCCAGATATTACTTAGCCACGTGTTTGTACATAGTTTTGTGGGAATCTGGGGAAATGGTTTATTGGACGGAGAGGGCCAAAAATCTGGCATTCTTTTTACTAAAGAATGAGAGACAACTAGCAGACTTCAAAACAATACTCATTTCAATATTAAGCAAAACATAGTGCATCTATTAGCACAGTTCATTCTGCATAAATGCTGGGACTAGAAATTTATAGTACAAAGGACTTAACCAATGTTCACAAGTAATTGTCCTTCTCTTTGTAATGAAAAGTATAGGATAGCATAAAACAGAATATCCTCTTTATAACAGAGTCACCATAATATTGAAGTATATACATGCAAGACTCAGTGATGCTTGTAGGGTAACTTGGTGTGTAACGTCAGAAAAAAAAACAGCAGAGACTATATATAAAACCTTATAAAAACCCTCAGGTTATAAAATAAAATAGTGTTTTTTTTTTTTTCTCTTTCTCTCTCTCTCTCTCTTTTTTTTTTTTGATACTTCTTCGGTTTATTTTCCAAAAAGCCAAACTAATCATTCTTTTCTTCTAATAGGACTTTCCGGGACATTTCTGAAGATCTGAAATCTTCAATAGACTGAACTTGTTCTCACCAAAATGATTTCTCTTAGGAAGTTCAGCCTTGACAGTGAGTCCAGCTCAGCTATGGCCTTTTGTCCTATCAGCTGTGCCTGGCAAGCAGAGCCCAGGGAAGAAGTAGAAGCAGCCTGGCCTCCCATACCTGAATGCCTGGACAAGAAAGGACTCGCTGTGGGCTGCTTTGCATTTTAAAGCACTACTAAGCTCACATTTGTGGTTTGCTCACTTAACTGTTGCTAAGGTGGTGTGAAAAGTTTTGGTTTATACACTGGTACCATGGCTTGACATTTTACTTTGGTTACCTATATTACTGTAATATATATTTATAGTTATTTTTAAGAGCCCTGTACAGTCTGCCGTTAAAAGTATACACCATGTAATTTTCTTTGCTTTAAGAAGTCTGTCTTAAACTTTTATGACAGTCACTTCTTAATGAAGAGGGCTTCCACTTTTGAGTGTCTAGTTGTTTGAGCTGGAAAAAGTGATTCTTCTGTCCTCCTCCTACAAGCTATGGTCTTCTCTGTAAGATAGAATGACTTTAAGTGTAAGAGTGGATGGATTATATGAAACTAGGTTGGCCTCAGTGGTGGCTGCAGGAAACACAAAGTCTGACACTCTTCCTCTCCTTGCTCCACTCCCTGTCCCCCATTACACTATTGCCAAATTTTGAATACTTGACACACCACACTGAAGTAAAATAATTATGAAGCTGCTATTTATGGTAACAATATAATGGGACTCATGTTGTGATTAACTTTTTCTTTCCAAATATTTTAAGTAAGAAATCTCAGGTGTAGTCGTACTCTAATTTTTTTCTTGTGTATTCTTATTTCATTATTTGGAATTCTGCCAGGTAGTACTTATTAGCAGTAGGTTTTTATATTTAAGTGGTATTTTTCCATTCCTTAGCACAGTGCCTTGCACAGATGACTCTAGATGAATGCTTAGTGAATTAAATTGTGACTTTTCAAATATCCCAGCTTTCAGAACAACCAGTGTACTGCTTTACATTTGACATCTGTTTGCACTGTTGTTTCACAACCGCTTTACCCCAGCTCACATAGAGCTTTATATTATTTTACTACAGTTTCACTCAGATGGGGACACTTAAATTCAGAAATGGCCTACTCAGTGTCATCAAGTTTAATAATATTGGTGTCAAATCTTTGTGACTCCATAGTTTGCAGATTCTGTATAGTAGTGTTCCTTCTAATATCTTATGCAGTGTCCCCAGGGTTGAGATAGGATAGGTGTTGCTGTCCACTTGTTAATGAATTATGATTGGTTCTACACTTAATGACAGGGTTTGGACTAGAATCCCACTTTGTGCTCTTTCCTCCATATTTAACAATCATCAGACTCTTTGCTCCAAGGGAATATGAAGGGGCAAGGGTTTTAAGTATCAAAGACAACCCTTTTGGAAAACCTTTAAAAGCAGAAATCATTTTTTTCTAAAAGGTCTTCTCACTGAGAATCACAATTAGTGATAATTAACTTAAATTGATGCTGATAATACCTAAGAAAACCACCTAGAAAAGTGGTTATTGTGAGGTCTCTGTTTCTGTAGTAGACTACTTGTAGAGCTCTTGTTTTTACCACAAATCCTTCAACAGTTAACTGATACACAACCCCAGATAATATTTGGTCTAGAAGTAACTCATCACTTCTTTAGTTATTCAGTTATTCCTTCAGTGAAACATTTACTGACAGTTTCCCAGACTGTTCAGTGTTGTAGGCTATAATTCAGAAGGAGGCTTTCTTTCACCTTAAATCTTAGCCAGATCATGTATATTGTTAAAATGAAAAATATTATATTAAAAAAGCAATCAGGTTTGTTTTTGTTAATTATATATTGGCAGGTTTATAGCTGTAATTAGCACATATTTATAACAGGCAAATAAAAACACAGTGGGTCTGTGTACCTATACAAATTATGTTCCTCTCAAATGCTTTTATCTGTATGAAGTGACATTGTAAAAAACTAGGTTTGAGCTATTGTATGACTATTGTTGGTCATAATTATTAATATGAATACCAGGAGAACTCCGAGTCCCCCCAAAATAGTTTAGAGCTGCCAAAATTAGCAGTAGGGTAACATCACTCTGACGTCTCGGGGTCAGAGGTGCCCCCAGAGTACTCCACTGCCCTGATGAGGAAACCTGAACGGGCCCAATACTCCTGAAACTGTGTAAAGACGCAGGACAGAAAGAAACATGCCCCCACCAGGTCTTCCTAGTACCTTGAGGTCCCACTTTTGTTGTGTTTAGCATTTCGGGGAAGAAATATTCATAAATTCAAGCCATGAGGGTTTTGATTAAAGCAAGTAAATGTTAAGGAAGTTATCCAGAGAGTTCAGTTTCATTATAGGAAAAAACTTCCTAGAACTTTCAAGGAGGCTGAACTACAACCTCCTTCAAAGGTCTTACAAGACCTTTATGTGAGTGTTACAGTGGAAATAGCCTCTGGCAGCACACTTCCAAGTGCTGATTGTAGCTAAGAAAGAGTTCTTTTTTGTTTTTATTTATTTTCATGTTTTGCCATAGAATATGTTTACTAACTTACTGAAGACCTGGGAAAAAAAATACTTAGTGGCTATTGCAAGCCACCAAGTAGATATTTTTTGGTTGCTTAAAAATAATCAAGAGAATTATATATCAAGATGTTCTGTCTGTCTGCCTGAGTCATAGATGTTTGTGCTAGAGAGGTCTTTGTGTAGTTAGTTTGATCCTGTCATTTTCTGGGGAAGGAAACAAATCCATAGGTTAAAATAACTTTGCTAGCACATACAGAGCCAGCTAGTGACAGAATTTAGAGTAGAATATAGTTCTTTTTTTCCTCTCAGTCTTTTTTCTACTTCTTTTCCCTTTCCCATGGTTGCATAACTTTGGGGAAATGTATTCCTTATAGTAACAGTGTCAAGATATGCTATTAAATATTATAAGAGAACAAAATTGTATGTAGAGGGAGAGGACTGCATGGTTAATTAAAACTGAAAAATGTTGAGTCCTTTATAAGACTTTAAGAGTTTTTAACTTGCCATCCTATATTTTGAATTTATATGACACAAAGACTGTTTACTAGACTTAATTGACCTTAAACTGCATCCCTAGCCTCCTTTTCTCAGAGACTCTGAGGGCCACAGGACCTGGGAGACATGACTAAGTTTACAGCCATTTTAGAAGATATCCTTCATGGAAATTCTTTTTGTTAATTCTTTTCCATGGTACCACATAAACTGTAATAAATCTCAAAGTTTAGTGAGATACTAGTAAGAAAACATTTGCTGTTCAGAGCTATACGTAAAGTATAGAGATTCTTTTCCACCTATGGTGTGTAAAATCAGTATTTGTGTTGAGTTTTGCAAGTTTTTTAAAGATAAAATAATGTGCAGATAAAGTAGTGATATATTGATACTATGTTTTAATAATGGTTTTGTATGGCACTTTATAGTTTTCAGACTGCTATCATAGGCCCTGTTAGGTGATCAGGTGTTAAGTATTACCACATGAAGCACTGGAGACTCAGAAAGTTTTTGTTTTCTCCCTTAAGTTTGTACCACAAATTAATGGAGCCAGAATTCAGTTGCAGGATTTCTGACTCCAAGTCCAGGATTCTGGATTCCATACCTGGTTTCCTATTTTTCTTCCAGCTTTTTATTTTACTATGAAAGATGTGGAAACAAATCTTAAAGTGACATCTTTTTGTTTATTATCAAATAATCCTTTTTTTTTTTATTGTGGTGACCCAGAAAATGAAAATTTTATTATGGCTATCCCAAAGAAATCCCTTCTTTGTAGTGCTGTTTGTTTAGGTGACTAGAGTGCATTTCCTTATTTGATTTTTAAACCACAAGATTGGATACATAGTTGTAATTGCTTATATAACTTTTCTTTTTTAAAATATATCATCTTTGCAGTCTCAGGCAAAGTAGAGATGTTTGAAAGTAAAAAATAATACATATTCTTTATTCTCACACAAATGCTTCTTAGCTTTAACTTGCTTTGATAACCTACTGACAACTTCTTTGTAAATGTAAAGTATTTATATTTTGAAATAAAATTACTAGTGATGAATGAATCTGGTGATAAACTAAGTTTTATTTCTATTGAAAGTTTGATCTTAATGAAATCAGACCTCACAAATACATCCATATGTCGCTTCAGCCTTGTGTCTTGCCCTTTCCTTTGGCACCACTATCCACACTGAATCTTTATGAAATATGGCAACTTACATGAGGGAAAATGAGAGGAAGCATCTTAAGAGAGTTGAAAGGGTCCAGGGCTGAAGTGGAACATTCAGTGCATAGAGGAGGTGGTCTTGTGGTAGATAAGGAAATGCCACAGTGGATGGAAAATAAGGGGGTAGAAACTGGACTAACAGAACGGCACATTTTGAATAAAGAAGCCTAGCTTGTAGCTCTCTTCAAAATCACTGAACCTGCAGCATTGATAGACAGACCTGAACCCACAAGTGGAAGTACTGTACAGTACCTCAACAGTGCTTGGGAACCAGCTCTCTAATGCCTCAAGTTGGTGGTACTCAAGCCATCAATTATGGTTAGAGGAATAATCCTGGTCAAGGTGTAAGAGTTGATTAGCCAACCTTTATTTTTTTCACTTTTTGATAATTTCTCATTGGCAGATATGCTATTCCAAACGCTATTTCTTCATGCTTCCCAGTTTATTTCTTAAGCCCAGGTATGTATGTGCTTCCCTCTGGCTTTGCTTTTGGGAAAAGGGTGTTTAAGCTAAGGGGTGTTCAGCTATTTCCCACTCTAATCACTCAGGGGCTCATGATTCTTGCCCTTAGCTTTAAATGAATTGTTGTATTACTACATACTAATGATCTTTCAAAAGCTGCTCTCTGATAGGCACTAGGGAAAAAAGTAATTTTGAAGAGTAGTTTTAAAATCATAACTGTTAAACTGGGTGAAACTTTTCCATGTGCTTTATTTAGTTTTCTTTTGAAGAGTAATTCTAAACCATAGCCTGAAAGTTACTCAGATAACCATCTTCTTGCCAAGTACCCAGCTACAACTTTAAATGTTTCATCTTTACTCCAGCTCAGTGTTTAGGAGAAGGATCAGATAAGCACTGGGGTGAAGGCTAAATGCTACCTTACAGAGAAACCCCAGAGAGACAAACCCTTAGAATACTCATCTCAGTATTAAAAGCCCTTGTCTACAGAATGATTGGGGCCGCAGTTTCAACCCCAGCGCAGCTTCCAGAAATTGGAGCTAGGACGATCTATACAAGCCGGTTAGCCTCGCTGGCGACGGTTGTCTATGTCCTGGTAATAGGCCACGTGACCGTGGAAACACTCAGGTGTCTTGTTTCACCGCACTAATGCTGCGAATCTTGGGACCCTTGGGAAGCATGGTGAAGAGACAGAACG